AATTTCTCTTTTTCAAGGTTGAGAAAACTAAACAAGGACGATGATTCCTCTCATTTAGTTGGGGCCTCTTAGATGGGGCAAGTCACTAAAATGTCATTGCTTGTACTAGGTTCCCAATTCAAATGGAGACAATTTGGGCATTCATGAATATATTTTTTTATTATGTATTATGCGAAACAAAAAAAAAAAAAAAACTTCCTAATTTTTTGACCCCCTTGAATTTACTTGTAGCCCCTCAACTACGTTACAAACCCACAACAAAATGCCCAAATTTCATTTGTTTTGAGTTTGAAAAAGTTGAACAATAGAAGGTATTTTGTTAGTCAAGATACTCGAGCCAAACGACTTGATGCTTGTTCCATATTTCAAACTTAGAAAATATTTCCTATGAAAACTCATATTCGATGTAAATATTTTCCATGAAAAAATCATATTCAATGTTTGAAACTTTAAATAAGCACTGACGTTTACATTTTGGGGAAAGTTTTTATATAGCTGAGGTTCTAAACAATCAAATTAGACCCTACCTAAAAGCTCACTAGAAGAGGTTGTTTTGAAGTTGAGATATCCTCAAATTGATCATCTTGATATCAAGATGCATGGACATGAGAAAAAATTGGATTTCAAGTTTTGAAAATAGTATATTTTGTAACGTATTTTTGGACTGTCAATTTTCAAGATTTTCAAGTTTTTATCGATAAGTCTATATTATTTTTAAAGCTTTAAACTTTATAAATAAATATAAAAATATATTTTAAGGCTATTGCAAATATTTCCAATATTAAAAGTACATTTCTTGACATTATTTGAAGGTAGGCTCTAATTTGATTGTTTAAATCCTAGGCTCTATACAAACGGCACCCTTACATTTTTTGGACAGGTTGACCTAAGAGACTCAAATTACTAAAATACCCCTCTTTCCTTGTTTGTGGCTCAAACCTAAAGCAACATTTTTTAATGAAAAAAGTGTTGTGTGTTTGGAAAATGGAGCAAAGTGTTTGTGTCATTTGCATTAAGTCAATGAGTGAAACTGCAAAAACCCCCTCCAACAATCCCGCTTTCAGGTGTTTTTAATGAAATTATTAACAGGTAAATGAAACATTATCTAAAGGTAAGTAATTGTTCATTGATTTTTTAAGGTGATTGTGCATTTTAATGATTTTTCTTTTATTTGTATATATTTATTTTTTCGTCCCATATTCGGACAACATAGAAATTACCCTTCCTCCTTAAATGGGAGCATGGGTAAGTCCAACCCTAGTTGCGGAGCCTAGCTTGAAATTCATATTTAACTTTTTTAAAGCGATGTAGAACTAACACTATTTTTGGGAATTGAAAATCTTTTTTTTTATTTATATCCATACATCTCAAGGTTTAGATGGTCAATTGAAACCTCATATTAACTTTTTCCTCTTTATATAGGAAGAATTTTATATAAAGTTGACACCTTAAATTGTAGAATTAAGGTGCACCTCAAAACTTGATTGGAAAAAGCTATTTTAACATTGAAAAACCATTCAAATGATCATCTCGACATATATATATATATATATATATATATATATATTATTTTATTTTATTTTTAGAAAAAATAGAAAGAAAAAGGTTTCAAGTCTCAAAAATAATACATGTTATAATAAATTATTTGGACCATCCATTTTCAGGATTTTTATGGCTTTATAGATTTGCTGGATTCAAACCATATTTTGAGTTTAAAATTTCAAAATTAGAGATGAAAATAGATTCTTGGGTCGTCCTAAAATAATTTGACAATCAAATTGTATCTTATGACGAAGTTCAAAGGTGCACCTCACTTTGATTGTTTAAAGTTGCAATCTTATGCACGCATTATATATAACAAAATAGGGTAAGATTTGTATAAGGTGCCAACCTTATACTATATAAACAAGGCACACCTTTTTTCGTACTTCTTTTATTGTAAACTTTATGACAACTTGAAAATTCATATTCTGCTCTAATTACGAAATTTATAATTCCAAAAACGATGCATATTGATCAAATTCACAAATATTGAAATACCTTGAAAATAGACGATCCAAATATCTTGTTACAAGATGCACTTTTTTTAGAACTTGAACTCTCTTTTTCTCCCCCTTTTATACCCATCTATCGAGGTGGATACGATCAATTAGAACATATAACTTTCAAACACTCTCCCACTTATTTTTTATGAGCGCTTTACTTTTACAAGAAAATCAATCGAAAGAGGCTCTTTTGATGTTGGAAAACCATCTAATTGATCATCTCAGTATCATAATGTATGGATGCAAAAAAAATAAAAATGAAAATTTCAAGCCCTAAAATAGTATATTTTGTAGCATATTATTTGGACCATCTATTTTCAAGATTTCACACCTTATAGAGATACTTGATTTGAATTGTTTTTGGAGTTTAAAAGTTTATAATCAGAGAAGAAAATAGATTCTAGGGCCATCCTAAAATATTTTGACTCTATAATTGCACATTATGACGAAGTTTGGAGGTGCGCCTTATTTTGATTGTTTAAGTTGCAACCATATGCAAACCTCGCGTATATTATTGAGGGTAAGGTTTTCATAAGGTGTTAACCTTATACTAGTCAATTAAAATGCACTTTAAAACAATTAAAAAATACATAGTTTTGGTACCAAAAAATCTTGAGATGGCATGAAAATCTACTACGACCCTTAATTATGAAATTTAAAGTTCCAAAAACTGTAACCATCAAATATATCTATAAACACTTGAAAATCTTGAAAATGAATGGTCTGGATGATATATTAAAAGAAACATTTTTAGGGTTTGAAATCATTTTTTCCCATATCCATGAATTGCGAGTTAAGATAATCAAATTGAGGGTTTCTCAGCATCAAAACAACCTTCTCTAGTGGGCTTTTTAGGTGCATAATATTTCTACCATACAAGGTTGCCACCTTAGATAAACTTTCTCATATTTTTTATATATAACAACAAGGTTATGTCAAAATACTTAAAAAATCCAAGTAAGGCACACGTCCAAATGATGCTAAAATATGTTGTTTTCAGTGCCAAATTCTTTGTGATGGTCCGAAAAATATATTTTTATCTCTAAATATGAAATTTAAAGTTAAAAAAATAGCATGGATCTAGTTAGGGCTGGCAACGGGTCGAGTCTAAGCCATTCCATTCTTGGCCCTAGCCCCATAGGGCCAATCCAGGTCTTGCCCGGCCCAGACTGGGCCAAGCCAGATCGAGCCAAACAAAATCGATAAAGAGTAAAGGAGTAAAAAAGGTTTGGGCTGAACAGAGCTGGCCTTGTCATGGACCTAAGCTAGGCCGGGCACTTGGGCTATATTTTTGTGACCTAGGTCCTAGGTTTTTTAGAGTCGGGACAATTAGGCCTAGTCGAGGCCATCCATTTCCACGTTTGGATCTAGTAGTTTTACAAATACTTAAAATAAAAAAAATAGACAGTTAATAAAAGCATTACAAGATGCACCATATCTAGGACTTGTAATCAGTATTTCCACATGAGAAGGGTTTTTTTTTTCGCATCGGTATGGAACCTTTCAGTGAATTTCTTGAGTTGCGCCTTACTTCATTGAGATCTATTCCATGTTGGAAAAACAGGGCGATCTAATCGGTAACTGTCCGGTTAGATCAGAACCGGTTTGGGGTGGTTTGGTGATCAATCGATATTTTTTTTTTAAAAAAAAAGCATATAAAATCCCGAAAATAAAGAATTTGGTTTGTAATACATTTTTATGGTAAAGATTATAAATTTATTTTGGTAATTTTATATTTTCCCATTTTTTCAGAATTTTTTTAAAATACCCCCTGGTACAAATCTATTAGTTAAAATCCATTTTTTCATTAATTTTCCACCTTATTTGAATGTGCTTTGTTTTAAGGGTGTAGTTGGCATACAAATGCACCCGTAGCTGTAGAGGTAAGGTGCGCCTTCAAACTTTATCATGGTATATAATTTTGACGAAAAATATTATTAGGATTATCTCAAAATCTATTTTTATATCTAATTATAAAATTATAAAATGGTTAAAATCAAGTAGATCTATAAACAAATGAAAATCTTGAAAATAGACGGTGTAGATAATATGTTGTAAAATGCATTATTTCTGAGACTTTCAAATCTTTTTCATTTTTTATGGTCATACATCTTGACACGAGATGATCAATTAAAGGGTTTTTCAACATTAAAACTATATTTTTCGATGGATTATTGAAGCGCATCCATAGTTGTACATTATAAAGTTGCATCTTTATATAAACTTTTTCCTTCGTCTTAATCGTTATTTATGTGTTTTTCATATTTTGTTTGTATCTTTTTAATTTTTTTTAGCAGTTTTTTAACCATTCGGGACTTTTTCAATTAGAATGGTTGAATCGGCTTCCGGTTAGATTTTGCTAAGACCGGGTCTACTAATCGCAACGTGAACCGGGTCTTGGTTCAAAGGCCCAGCGGAGTCGGGGTCAAACAGACCCAACCCGACCCAAACGCTCCTACCATGTGTTAAATCAGGGAGTCGCAGACGAGGACTAGGTATGGTGAGATGTGACCCGCTCTGACAAATGATAACATCGTAATTAGAAAGCGAAAGGACACATACTGGCGGCGGCCTCAACTTGAAGTGACAGCTGGCTCGCTCTCCTGGGGCACCATCGAATAAAATATTCAATATTTACGGAGAGAGAGAGAAAATTTGAATTTGGCGCCAGACTAATGGTTAGAGGAGGGAGAGAGAAAAAAAGTAGATGAGAGAGAAAGAGCAAAATCCATATCTCTCACGTCAAGTGAAAGCCAGAAAGGGCCGGCGCCTGTTTCAACTTTCAAAAAGTAACCGCTTTTAGGAGAGAGTAAAAGTGGTTTTGTAAGCTCCGAGGACATGGCCCCTCTTTTTACCGCTAATGCGGCCTGCTCACTCAGCTGTCAGCTTTGGCGGGATTTTCTCATTTAAAAAATTGAAAGTTTGAAAATGCACCACTGTTGTCTTTCCTTTCTCTCATTCATTCTCTTCTTCTCTCCTCTTCGAAGCTCTGCTTTTTCCTCTGTTTTCCATGTGTTTTTCGCTTCTTTATCCTCATTGAGCTCTGAACCCCTCTGTTTTGCCCTAATCTGATCTTTTATATCCCCGTTTTTTGTTCTGGTTCTCCGTTTTTGGTTCCTTTTTCTTGGAGCCAAGAGTCGGTTTGTATCTCTCGTTCCTCAGGCCTGTACTTTGGTTTTATTTTTTTAACCCCCATTTTTGCTGGTTTATTTTCAGTAGCTTGATAATGAAGGAAGATGCGTTCTTTGTCCCTGCTCCTAATGACCTACGCTGCGAAAAAACCATTGGGGTGGGGAGGTGCAAGAACTGGCGCGTTCATGATATGCTTATTTGTGAAAAACATTTAAAGATGGAAATCAAGGCAAAAGTATCCAGAACTTCTGCAAAGAACAAGGGCTCACAATGCAAGACCAGAGACCAAATGGGAAACGGATGTGCGGATTATGTTTCAGAAAAGCCGAAAAAGAAGGAGGTTGTGCATCAAAAAAACAAGCAAGAGGAGGAGGTTCTGCTTGAACATGGCGCTGGGAATTCTATATCAGGTCCTAAAGAGAAGCAGGAGGTAAAGGTTCTACTCGAGATCAGTAATGGAAATTCTCTCTGCAGAAACAGGTCAAGGGAAAGCGAACAAAGTTCTGATGAAGAGAGAATGGCTGAGAATATGGCATCTGCAAAGAAGAAGCGCAACAAGAAGGGGTTCAGTAATGACGATGGTGGTTTTAGGGCTACCAAGATATCAAAGTTAAAGAAGAAGATGACGCTGAAAGAACCAGATGAGGAGGATGAATTGAAAGATGACTTCATCGAATCAACTAGTAGAAATTCTCTCTCTAAAAAGAGTTCAAGGGAAATTGATCGAAGCTCCGCTGAAGAGAGAGTGGCTGAGAATATAGCATCTGCAAATAAGAAGCCTAGCAAGAAGGGGTTCAGTATTGACGATGGTGCGTTTAGGGCTCGCAAGATATCAAAGATAAAGAAGAAGATAAAGATGAAAGAATCAGAAGAGGATGAATTGAAAGATGATTCCAACAAATCAACACGTAAATCTTTCACTCCTAGCGATGGAGTTGGGGCTTCTCAAATGGAGCCAGAAATTTTGGGCTCGGATAATGGAGTTCTGGCTTGTGGGTCTGAGCCAAAGATGGAGTTTGCAGCTATTTCTTACTCTAGACGCAAGGTTAAGGCACTAAACAATGGGCAATATACAGTAGAAAACCCCAAGGTAAACTGTTACCTTTTTTAAAATGATTAAGTAGATTGTTACTTGGCATTATGAAATCTGGGAGATTTTGAATTTCTATAAGTTAGAAGTCCTTTTGTGTTTTGTTTGGTCTCTTTTTTTTTTTTTGGTAATGATTAATGTTATGTGTTGTTCCTCTAGGAAATTGCAGAGATTTCTCAGGCAAAGCAATTGCGTAAACTCAGGCCAAGAAACAATGTATTCAGCGAGCGTAGGCCACAAAAGAAAGTACAATGCACAGTTGAAAAACCAAAGGTAAATTGTTATTTGCTGTGAATAAATTAGGTGAACTATAAATGTTGTTATTTGTTGTGAATACATTTGGTGAACTACAAATATTGAAAACTTAGAATCCCTTAATATTTTCTCTATTCTTGTTGCAATTCTTTTGTTTCTGTTCCTCTATGGAAACTCTTATGAATTAATTTTCTTACTTTGGTGATTTATTATTTATCAAGTCGGAAATACATCCCAATAGTTTTTGAAAGCTGCTAATATTTTTGGTGAAATTTTTAGAAGGCACTACCGGGTTTCAGCAACATGTGCCATCAATGCCAAAGAAATGACAAGGGAAGGGTGGTGAGGTGCACCAAATGTGATAGAAAGCGCTACTGCATACCTTGCATAACGAGATGGTATGTTGGTATCTGCTATTTATTCTTGTACGTTTAATTTACTTTGACAGGTAAATATTTCATGGCTCGTTGAATTGATTATGTTACCTCCTACTTCAACCTTTCTTTCAATTTCTTTCAAAACTTGTTAATTGCTTTTTCTTTTGAGATTCCTGGTACAATACCATTGAACATCAAATGTCAATTAGTTAATTAAAACTTTTTTTATAAGTGGTGAATTTTTCTTGATTGTGAAATTGGTGCAGCAGCATGAGTACAAATGGCATACATTAGAAAAAAGGTGCATACTGTGATGCACAGATGCGGCTGTGGACATGGTTATGTATAAGTTTTTGGTGATCTTACATATGTTTTTAATTGCCACAGATATGACGCGCATTTTGACGTATTTGTTTGTCATGAGGTGCATACGCATGTGTTTTAACTTTCAAGTTAATTCAAGCCCAGTTTGGATGGTTTCATATGTCCAGTAAGGAATAATAGTGTCTTGAAACAAAGCATTCCAATTCCTTTTTTTTCCTCTTCTGATTGATAGAGAATGTTCTGTGTCAGTTTCTTAATAATTGGGGGTGTGAAATGTCATTTACCCTTGAAGAGCAAAGCAGATTAAACAATGCTATTCTTACTCATTAATGGGTTGGGGAGAGAAATGCGATTACTTGTCTTTCTTTTTTTTTTTTGTGAGAATCGTTCACTTTATAAAGTAGGAAAATTACATATTTTTTAATAAAGATAGAGGCACCCAGGTTGTCAAAACTGGGCCATGTATTGTGCTGTTTGGGCAATTAAAATTTTCAACAATGCCACAAATATTAGTAAAACCAACTATATTGTAAGAAGTCTTAATATATGACGAAATTTTGGAGCTACCACTATAAAAAATGAAAATTAAATGTCAGTGGACAAATGACTGAGAAGTTTGGACATTGTTGTTGAGTCTGATTTACACATGTTATCATGGAGTTTTGAGTTCTACCTAGATTACCGCTTGCAAAATTGGCAAGACTTAGGAAGCTGTTTTTTGTCCCTTTCTTTATTTTATTATTTTGAATTTTTTGTTGGTTATGTAATGTAAGTTTTATTTTGCATGAAAATTTGAGGGTCTTATTTGATTGTGAGCTGCATGCTAGTTGTCATAGTGTTTGTCTATTGTTGGAGTGTGAGCATTCTTGATCCAAGCGATACCTTTTCTTTCTTTTTCATTTTTCATATTTCTTGGTTGATGAGCTGCAGGTACCCTCTGTTGTCGGAGGAGAGTATAGCGGAGGAATGTCCTGTCTGTGTTGGGAATTGCAATTGCAAGGCATGCTTGCGTTTGGATAAATGCCAACAGGTCTGACTTTTAGATGCAAATGTTTGTTTACTGCTTAAACAAAAACTGCATGGGGTCCTTAAGTGTTGCTGGTTGATATTTTTGATGTAATCACGTTTTGATTTTATCATTTCAGAGATTTTATTTAGCAAACCGATGTTGCTTATAATTCATTTTCTGTGATCAGTGCCTGTGAAATGTAAAAGGTTCACTGTCAATTGGCAGAATTGTTATATTCACTTCTAGCTTCATGTTTCCTTGCAGAGTCATTCGAAAGAGATAAGTAAAGAGGAAAAAATTCGTCATCTTCAGTATTTGATACACAAGGTCTGTCCCTTGCTCAGGCAAATTCATCAAGAACAAGAAGCAGAGATGGAATTAGAGGCTACCATTCAAGGTATGGACCAATATCATATAGATAGGAAGGTCATGAATCGGTTCGGATGCTGATCCATTCCAAACCTCTCCGACGGGGACTCTAGTCACCAATAGGTTTTTAAAAAATTGAACTTAATGGTGTATAAAATTCTATTCAATGGAAGAAAAGTTTGATTTGTTGTTTAGTCTGCCTGTCCAACTGGTTTGCTAATTAAGAGTGGGTTTTGACCTAGACCAAAGGGCTTTGGGACCCAGAGTCAAGGTGAATTAGCAAGATTGACCCGTCAACATCTGCCTTTATAGTGTTTCAGGCTAATTGTATGTTTTTACCTATTTTTTGTGCCCTAATAGTTTCTGTATCTGCAGGAGTACCTCCATCTGATATACAGGTTCAACAGGCAGTTTGTTATGATGATGAGCGTTTGTATTGGTAAGCTTTTCGTTCCTCATTAATGATAAGGATGGTTCATTTTCTTGATGCATTCTAGTTCTTTCCTCTAAAGTGTTTTGGAACTTGATCCTTTCGGATTTGAAACAGTAACAACTGCAGCACATCCATTGTGGATCTACATCGGAGCTGTCCAAACTGTTCATATGATCTCTGTCTAAAATGTTGCCAAGATCTACGCGCAGGCTTCAGCCTTGGAGGTGGTGAAGAAGTTCATTTGGAGTTTGTGTCAAGAGAGAAAACTTATGTGCATGGTGGGAGGCTTCATTTGGGCAGTGAGAGGAAAAAGGAGTCTAATGGCATCAGGTCTTCTTCATGCGAAGATGTGCTGGCCTTTGAATGGAAAACTGACAATTATGGCAACATCTCTTGCCCTCATACAAAGATGGGAGGATGTAGTGCTGGCCTTTTGGAACTAAAGTGTATATTTCAGGGCAATTGGTTGTCCGAGCTGCTAGTTAAAGCTGACAAAATGGCTAGCATATTCAGATCTTCAGAGCTATCAGATAATTTTGATCCGTGCTCCTGTTCAAGTGAAATAATGAATGGAGTTAAGGAATTGCTTCGTAAAGCAGCTGATAGAGAAGAATCTGACGACAATTATATTTACTGTCCAATTGCTAGAGATATTAAAAATGGAGACCTTGAGCACTTTCGAATGCATTGGACTAATGGTGAGCCAGTGATAGTACGCAAATGTCTTGATAGTAAACTGGGTCTGAGCTGGGAGCCAATGGTCATGCATCGTGCATTTCGTGAGAGGACTAACTCCAAAATTGGAATCGAGTTGCTCGAGGTGACTGCCATTGATTGTATGGATTGGCGTGAGGTCAGTTACAAAATTAACCGTGAGATATGATGTTAAGTTTCAGAATGCTGGTTCCTGAAACATCAGGTGCAGAATTATCTTGGTTTAATTTTCTGATAGGCACCTCTACTGATCCAAAAACACAGGAAGTTCAACCCCAAAAAAAAAAGATTGAGCAAAGAAGTAGTTTAAGGAACCTCTAATGCTCTTTTACACATAAGACTTCTGTGTGGATTTGTTTTTGGCATGTAGGCTTGGATAGGGGCATTCATGGTGTTGATATTCTTTTTAGGATTTCCATCAAAGTTGCTGCCTTTCATGCAATTTTGATCACCTAGTTTAAGTTTTGCATGCATTGGTGTCCTTTTAAATGCTGAATGATTAGTAAACATGTTGGTCTGTGCTTACCAGTATCACTTCTTTGTGTGATACATTAGATTCCTCGTATTGAATTCCCTAGGTGGCGTACTCTAAGTTGCACAGGCCTCTAGCCTCAAATCGTTCTTGGGTCGTCGCCTCCTTGGGTGATGTATTAAAAAAGGATTAGAGAGTCTTGAATTATAGTCACCTGTTGCTTGCTAGGTGCTACCTGTTGCTTTGCTTGCTAGGTGCTACCAATGGGTTTTACAGATTAGTTAAGGTTATAACCTGGGTTCAAGTTCAGACTTCTTGGATTTGCTGCTATGATTGGAGTACAAACAGTTAAGTAATAATTATGTATATGCTATGTTTATAGTTATGGTTGGGGAGATTTCTGCAGTAAGCCTTGTCTATGATCGTCTGGTCCATGGCCAGCAAGTTTCTGAGTTCTGTCTGTCATCACTAATTAAGCTCATGGCTAAAGTTGCTCAATTACCTATAAAGAATACTATAAATGATGCATTGTTTTCTGATAACAAACCTGATATGTCTTCACAACATTTATCTTCAATGGTTGTGGCTTCCCTGCATTTGTTGTAAGTGACTTGCATCTCTTGTGAAAATCATGTGGTGAACTTTTTGAGTGAGATGACTACCATGCATGCATGTGCACTCCACAATAATACAAACAACACACAATTGTACAGGCTCATCTTTACTTGCTACCCACTGATTAGCTGAGACATCTCTGGTTTCTGAAACTTTCCATGATTTAGGAGTTGGCAGAAAGATCATTATTTTGGGTGTTTCATATTGTAATATATATTTATTGATGTAGATAGTGCTTAGAAATCTATGTTTCTGAGTACTTCTGTAGTTCTGCATATTGTGAGAGTGATTGTCTCTTTTGATATGCAGGTTGATATTAATATTCATCAGTTTTTCAAAGGTTACATGGGGGACCGTGTGCCTCGTGGTGAGCAGCCAGCAATGTTGAAGCTGAAGGATTGGCCCCCATCAAATTTCTTCAATGAGCTTTTGCCTCGCCATGGTGCTGAGTTCGTTAGTGGGTTGCCATTTCAGGAATACACAAATCCCAAAGTCGGTGTCCTTAATCTTGCTGCAAAGCTTCCTGAGAAATTCCTTAAGCCAGACTTAGGACCAAAAACTTATATTGCATATGGGAATGCAGATGAACTTGGCAGAGGAGACTCTGTAACCATGCTGCACTGTGATATGTCTGATGCGGTATGCTTTCTTTTTGCAGAATTGAGTACTATTTACAATTTTCTATTGTGTTATAGTTGAGAGTATTACAACAAAAGTTCTGGATGGGTACTGCATTGTGAGTTATTACATAGTCGCATTTGTACCCTGCTATAGGTTGAGTTTATTTTATTGAATGGTCTGAAATTTTGCATTTTAGATTTTTGACTTGTTGGATGGATGAGTTTTTAATTTGTCTGTTCTCTTGCACTGAGATATTGATCTGCATATTCTTGTAATGTAGGATAACTAATGAGCATGTTATCAACTTCTTTTTTGTTATGAGCTCAATAAAAATCTGAAAGGATGAAGAGTGGGATTTCTTTGTTTGTCTTGGTTATTTTAATCTCTCTTCTGTTGGATTACCAAAATCCTCCTTATTGGTAGGTTACTTCAGTTTCTTTACTCATTCATTTTTCAATTCATGAAATGTATTCCTTTCCAGCGTTTTATGTTCCTTCAGTTTTCTATTTATTCGCTTTCTTGGCTCAGGTAAATGTGCTGACACATACAGCAGAGGTTGAGTTTTCTTCTGAACACTTGACTTGGATAGAAGAGCTAAAGAACCAGCACAACACCGCAGATAAAATGGAAGCCCTTAATGCCTGTGGAATGAATAAGAAAAGGGTTAATCCGGGGCGCAGAAAAAGGGAAACACTTTCTATAGATGGGAAGGCCATAGCGACTGGTTTATCTGATTCCAAAAGAAGAAATGGTTCAAATCTTGATGTTGGAACTGGCCAGGAGGAAAACATTTGCTTGCATGAAGTGAAGGTTGAAACTTGTGAAGAGCACTGTATCAAAACTATGGAGATAACAGGGGATACTGGCTTTCCTGACTTTATTTCTACAGCAAAGAGAACTGTTGATGTTGCAATTGTGGAGAGTAATGGTTGGGAGACTGGTTGCCCTGGCATCAAACATAACGGTAAGGATGGCGAGAGAAAAGGCGATGCTGGTGCATCTGTTGTTGGGCGAGAGGTGATGGAGGTTGATGAAGATATGGATGATGAACATAGTTGTTCCAGGAAGTCTGAAGACTTGAAAAGAAATCCTCAGATGAAGGACAAAGAGCGGCCTGAAGTTTCTGCCAGTGAATTGAAACTAAAGCGTGAGTTTGGTGGTGCTCTATGGGACATATTTCGAAGGAAGGATGTGCCAAAGCTGGAGGCATACCTAAAAAAGCATTCAAAGGAATTTGGACATGCTTCGGATTGCCCACTTAAAGAGGTATATGGTAAAATTGTGAAGAGTTTTTCTAACAGAGATAAATTCCTATAATTTTCACATTTACATGTTTTATGTGCCAGGTTATTCATCCCATTCATGATCAGAGATTCTATTTAGGAGTGGAACACAAAAAGAAGCTTAAGGAAGAATTTGGTTAGTCTAGATTCTCAGTAGGATAGTTAATGGCTTTGTGATTATGAAAATGCCTTTAATTATGGACTTTTGACTTGGAAAGAAATATTATATCACAAAATATGGGACTGATAAGATTTCTTTTTTTTCTTCTATTGGGGTGTTTCTGTAGGAGTGGAACCTTGGACCTTTGAACAACATCTGGGGGACGCAGTCTTTATTCCTGCTGGCTGCCCTCACCAAGTTCGAAATGTGAAGGTAATTGTAGGCTTTTAAAGTGAACTGTGGAATGTTAATTTGCCTTTAAAAAAAATGAGCTGTGGTGTATTAATTTTTGTCTCAGTGGAGGTATTCTACTCTAGGGCTTTTGCACTGAAGCTTTTCACCTGTTTTTGCTCTACTTTCTTTATGCTGCAGTCTTGTATTAAAGTTGCCATGGACTTTGTGTCGCCGGAGAATGTCTATGAGTGCATTAGATTGACTGACGAGTTTCGGTTGCTTCCAAAGCACCATCGAGGCAACGAAGATAAGTTAGAGGTCAGCATTCTTTATTCTTGTGTCCCTTGCCTTTAGTTTTCTGAAGCTCATGCATTTTGTAATTGGTTTTATATTGTCCAGGTTCGGAAGATTTGTGTCTATGCGGTGAGCCATGCATTGGAAGAGATCAAGAACTTGAATTCCGCCACAGAGTGAGTCATTTTAGATTTCAATTTGGTTTTGATTGTCTGGTTTGTTGTGCTGTATGTAATGTAGTCTGTAGCTTTATGCATGAGTGTTTTTTTGGTTAATATAATTGTACAGTGCAGTGATGCATGAGTGCAATAGTACTTTTTATGGCGTGTGTTTCCTTCCTTTGTTATTGAACACATACCACCTGTGTGTGTGTGCGTGCATGTGTGCGTGTGTGACTGACTGCCTCTATATATCTCCTTTTATCTTCTCTATTCCCTTTAGTTTACCACTTCAGTGGAGGAGGCTCAGGTAGCAACTGGGCCTTGAGCCTACATTGCATCGAAAGTTTTCTTGCTAACTTGATTGTTGGCCTAGTGTCTTTTCTATCACCATGAGCATGCCTTCTTAGAAAAGTTAAAAGGTTGTTGCTTTGGTGTTTGTTGAACTTATAATTTACTAAATGCTGTTTGTTTGGGACTTTAAGTTTGTCTTTACCTAATTGATGTTTGTCCATTTTTAAAGATTATGATAGCTGCATGGGAAAGCATACCATACACCACTGGCATTTGGCATGTTACAACATAGGGACGTCCACTGTCCATTCTCTACAATGGAAAATGGGTAATAACCGTTCTAAATGACACACAACATTGAATATCCTCCATCCGTCATCGAGAATGAGCAGATGGTACCCCATGGTGTACCATATAACACATCCGTGGTTTTGCTGTGTTTCATGTGTTCCTTAGTCTCTTGTCTTGAATTCTTTGACAAGTACATTCCTTGTGGCATTTTATTGGTTGCATCGAAAGTAGTTTCCAAGCGGATTCTGGTGAACACTGGTTTTGGTTTTCTTCTAGCAGATAGCCATTCATATTCTTTGTCAGGCAAGTTTCAAAGTCAACAAATGCGTGCCTTAAAAAGTTCAGTATGGATGACTCTTTTGACTTTTATTCAGTTATTTATTTATTTACTTTCTTTTTCTTCCCTACTATTTAGATCTGAACAAGGATATAAAGAGGTGCAGTCAGCCATGCACAAGAAACAACAGTCGAAGCGCAAGAGAAGCACGTCCAACTGTTGATCCCAAAGAAATCTCCATTCCCAGCAAATGGAAACCCAAGGACTACCTTCCTCCCATATTTGAAGAAGCTGAGACTACGATTGACGAAGTGTGCATCTAAGACTTGGGGTGCCAGATTTTGTATGCTCTCTCATCCTCCTAATTGAGGAACACTGTGCATGCCAAGGAGGTGTCTATGTTTGTTAGGCCTCTCTAATTTTGGTGGATTGAAGAGTGTGCCAAATTCTGTAAGCTCTCTCGTATTCCTAGTTAGGAAAAAATTATGCATATGGACGGTGTTATTGGGGTTTGATTGTGGGTGTGGTCATAACTGCATCTCTAATTTTTGGTGGCTTGTGCGGTTTTCTGTGTTATGTTTTTTTGGAGAGATCGGTCTTTGTCTTTGTATCTGTTAGCTGATCTGAATACTGTTTAAACCTTATAAAGGTATATTTGATGTATGTATTGGGGGCTCTTATAGATCATCACGGGCGTGCTTGAATGGAAGCTAGTTCATTTAAGAGTACTAGCAGAAGCATGTGTTTTGCATGTAGTTTTGCATGTGATCTGGCAGCGCTAAATAGAATAATATGATAGCAATTGACAGCAAAGATTTCCTACCCCATTGGGCAAAGCACATGCTAGTATATTGTTTTTCTTAACTTTTAGGAATGTAATCTCTACTATCCATGGAATAATCTCAACAAAAGAAATTTATAAAATGTACTCTTTGTAGTAGAAAAAAATAATGCCTCGAGATTGAATAGAAATTGTTCAATTTTTTAAGGGCTTGATCTGTGTCATGAAACTCAAAATTTAAGGTTTTTTTATTTTAAGAATAATCATCTAGTAATTCTTATGTGGTCCCCAAAACTTTGGACTAAAGGAATTCTCCTATGTAGGTGTTTTTAATTTGAAATCAAATCTCACAGTGAATCCCTCTTTTCTCGACTCTAACCACCAGGCTCTCTCCATGATAACCGTGGGCTGCTCTCTCAATTCATTGTGACCACCAAGGGATCACTCTTTGCTTGTCTCTCTCGAAGGGGCTACACGCTACTGTTACAGATATTCACTTCCTTTCTTTAAATGCGCTCTCCACTTGTATACTCAATACTGTTGACATTCTTCATGGGCATTCTTGTATGATTTTAGGCAACTTTTGAAGCAATGAATTGAATATATGTGCATGTGGATTATTCACCCACTACATCTCCATCTTGCATATGGGTTTGTGGATCATTTACCCTCTCTATCTGGCTCAACACTTGGCGTGGAAATGATTAGGAAGGTTTGAAGGCTATATATTCCATCACTAATGAAACTCTCGAACTTGGAAATGGCAGTTCAGGCATCCTTTAGTAGTTTTGGAATTGGTTCTATCAGAAATGTGTTTTGTCATTGCATCTATCAGCATCTTTGGATCAGGAGACGATGCATCTTTGTGGGGGATATTTTCGTTTTTTCTTTTGGAATGATTTAGTTCCACATGAATAGGAATTCCCTGTATATGTAATACTTGAAAAGCATGCTTCCTTGAATTGTGTTACTCGAATATAGTATTTTGCTCTTCCTTGAATTGTGTTACTGTGGGCTCTCTCTCAAAATGTCATTCATTTACAGACCTGTATATTTTTTTGCTTGGGCAGCATGCTTCCTTGAATTGTGTTACTTGAGTATAGTCTTTTGCTCTTCCTTGAATTGTGTTACTTGGGGCTTACTTTATGCAAAAGGCAAGAAATTTGAAAAGAACACTAATATTCTCATGAGAATTTTGAACATTGGAAGTACGAGTCCAAGAATTCAAGGCTGGTGTGTAGTTCCCAACTACTTTTCTATTACTGAAATGTATCATTATCAAGTTGTGTCATTTCTACGTTGGAACTTCTACGATTCTGGTTCATAAAATTGCTTTAAACTTTGGTTCATAATTAACTGTTTTAATCTAGATGATCAGATTGATTAGAGTTCAGCCATGAATATTCTATTGATCCTACTGAATACGATCATAATTTGGCTGACGTCATTCAAAAATGAATTTACAGCAACATCAAACTAAATTGTGCAAAAAATTGAGCCATTGTTTATATTTAATTTGTGTGTTTTTCTGATAGTTTTTCTCAACAGAAAACCAGTGTTAAATATGATTCTTTAATCTTAATTTCTTAATGACTTTTGAACAATAATAGTTGTTGGATCATTGACAATATGTTTCCAGCTAGATTGAAATAGTTTTTTGACAAATCTAATTGTGATTCATGATAAAAGAGTGAACTACTAGGTTGCCGATTTTTATAATCAGCACTGTGTTATCAGTTTAGACACAACTTTTGATGATTCTTGGACGGAAATTGCTATTGGGTGATAAACAAATTTAATGAGAATGTTGTGAAATAATCTAGAATAGATTATTTCTAAAAATCTTCATAAAATTAATCATTATCTGTTTTCCACACAACAGAGGAATGACAACAAATGTGCCATGGTCTTTTTATCATTGCGTCATAAGTTATTGGGTCTCGATATACCATTACACGCCCTTATAATGTTTCGACTTTTGTTTGTGAGACAATTGATCAATTTGAAGTAGTATTGATCAAAGAAAAGGAGATCATATTATTTGAACAAACTGCTAAAATTGTTCAACCTCAAAACCAGTAAAGTATATATCATACTAGTTTCGATCTAAAAATTCCAGCTTTATTCATTTATCTAATGTCCATATCTTGCTGACTTTTGTTGTGAGTTTCAAGATCTTAATGTACCGATACAATTAGATGTGAATAATTGATTTTTTTTTATATATATATAGATAATATATATATATATATATATATATAGAAATTGTTGAGATTAGCCCACTAGTTCATATGTTCACTATATGAGCTAGTGGGCTAATCCCAACAGCTCAGATTGAATCTGGACCAATATGACGATCACAGATGTCCGGTAGTGTTTAAATTTTAGTTTTTTTTTTACAAATCC